AATGTTTGAATGAAGACGTGCCGGGCACGAAAGTGTGCGTGAGTCACAACAGCAAATTAATGCGTTCAAACGCCACAGATTCCAACATTTCCCATAAGTGTAAGGTAATCAGGAGATTCTCTTTTTAATGAATGAAAGTGAATTAATATACAATCATCACATATATATATCCCTCCTTTCTTCTTTCCCTCATCCCAGTTGTTCTTTCTTATTAAGCTTATTATACCTTCACTTTTATTTACTCTTTCAGGGAAACAATATGGTGTTTACACATGTGAGTCTGATTTATTTCACTAATGAGTATGGTCTCTAGTTGCATCCATTTGCCTATAAAAGCCTCGAGTTCATCTTTCTTTATAGCTGAGTAATATACACACATAAGATAGCTAAGATAATTATATTACTATTTCTATTGGTTTATTGAAAGGAACAATTAATGTTTGTTTGCTCAATCTTACATGCCTATAGCTGGTAATCTGAGCAACTACTTTGAAGACAACAAGAAATAATACAACAACCATTGTTGATTTCCTATCATATTGTTTTGAAATTCTGTATCATTTTTATAGCTTTTGTGCTGTTTTGTTTTTGTTCTGTTCTCTTTAAAATAAAAAAATTAAACTAAAAATATACAGTCATATGTGGCATGGTTTATTTTGGGCAGTGATGGGCCCCATGTGTGACAATAGTTGCCTAAGATTATATCATTTAGTGTTGTAGGTAGTGTAAGTGGACTCTGATATTCGCACAATGACAAAACTGCTTAAAGATGCATTTCTGTCATTGAGCTGTGCATGGCTGAACGTTAGTGAATGAAGTAATGAGACATTCATTCAGTTGTTTTATTCACCTGAGGTTTTTCAGTTGTTTTCTCGGTGTATCCATCCAGGGCACCTGATGTTACGGTGTGAATGTAAAACGTCCCCCAGTTCTCATTGTGTGGACGCGGTTGGATCCCAGGGGCTCTGCGCTCGTTGGTGGGTTCATCCATCCATGAGTTCAAAGCTGATGCGCTCTTAGGAGGCGGCCCAGGCTGGGGGTGGTCAGTGCAGTGTGACCTGGAAGGCTGTGTTCTTGTCCCTGGCTCCCTCCTTCTCTCTCTGCTTCCTGGATGCCTTGTGCTGAGGAGCTGTTCTCTGCCATGCTTTTCCTGCATGCTGTTTCTGCCTTGGAGCCAGCCGCCCATGGACTGGAACTGTGATCCAAAATAGACCTCTCCTCCTTGAAGTTGTGGGTGTTGGATATTTTGTCCCAGCAATGGGGCATGTTTCAGTCGAATCCATCTGACAGCTTGCTTTTATCCCTGGAGTCTTCAAGCATGCAGCTGAGTGTCAGACAGTGGAGGAGGAGCTGCTGGAGGCACAAGCTCTCTCTTAGCATCGTTTGCTTTAATTTTAGGCTTTCAGTATGGATGTCAAGAAGGGTCTCTTTGCCCTTTGTTAACTAGACAGTAGGGCTGGGGAAGCAGTCATGACCTTTACCTTCCTGAATGTCATCATGCCCATTCCCCACCTCTCTGCAGAGCAAGAGACAGCAGGTTACTTGGGGAGTTTTGCTGCTTGGCCATGGCAGAACTGGTATATGTATCCATCGGTAGGGTGACTCTAGCTTAATACAAGACAATGATGTGTGTTTTCCCCACAGCCTGGAATGCGGCAGGGTTTAGCAAATTGCAACCCAGGGTCCAAATCTAGCTTGCAGTTTGTAGAACCCATGAACTAAAAGAAAATTTTTAAAAACATTTTTAAAGCATTAGAAAAAAGAAATCCCATAAAGAAGAAAATGTGGCAGAAACTCCCTGTTTCACACTATTTACAGTCTGGCTCTCTACAGAAAAAGTTTAGGATCTCTGCTCTAGGAAGACGTGAGTTGTTTTCCTCACGGAGTCTGGGCTCTTTCCATCTTTTGGCTCTAAGATGGGGAAAGATAGTGGGGAAGGACACCTGCTTCTTAAAAATCACCACCACAGAGGAAATGCATCACTGATGCTGCAGGGCAAAGGCGCGGTCGCTGGCCAGGAGCTGCTCCTGGCAACGACCGGGCATGGAGCAAGGCCAAGCTCTTTCTGTCTCTGTCTGAAATGTCCCATGTCTTTACCCCTTTCCTCATATTCTGAGTAGCAAAGTAGATTCTTTCAGGGTAACTAATCTGCCCCTGATACCAACCTTACAGTCTCTGGTATCCTCTCTCTGGGCCGTGGATCAGAGACCTTAAAACATTACCAGCAACTCTGCACTATACAGAGCCCATGCTGGGTGCTGGAGGGCACCCGCTCTGGGCGCAGATGCTCCTCAATGCCCAGCGTGCTTCCTGGTACAGAGCAGGTGTTCTGTGCATGTTTGGGCCTGACTTGTATGCAGATTTATAGGAACAAGTGAGGGAGAAGGCTTCCTCATGAAGACAGGACTAGCAAACTTGAGCCACAGCTGGAAGGACTTAGAAAGAAGACTCAGAAAGAATAGCAACAGTGAATCGATGGACAACCAAGTGAGTATCTTGCAGATCCAGGGCATGGTGTCAGATCCAAGTGAGTCTAAATCCCATGCTCTTCTCGACTGTGAGAAACAATGAACATGAAGCTAGGCTTCGACAGCGTCTGTGTGCCAGGGCATCTCCACCAGGAGGGGCATCTAGGGATGGGAAGTGCTGCTTCCAGATGGCCACATTGGAAGCCACATGGCAAATCGGGGAGAACTGGGGGCTTGTGTTCTGAAATCTCATGAAGCCAATGGAAGTTGGAGCACACAGGGCTGTGATGAAGTATTCAGCCAGGAAGCCTGTATTTAGAGCTGCCCACTCTGAGGTTGTTGTGGCATGGACTTAGGCCTGGTGAAGATACACACAGGGATCTGAAGACCTTGACCCTGTTCATTTCTGACTTTGTATCTCTCCCTGCTTCCATTGCCAGGAAGTCATGGAATGGTGAAGCCGGAGTACCTTACTTGATTATTTATCCTGGAAAGGGCGAGGGCTTTAGACCTTGACGAATCTGGATGCAGATTCAAGTTCAGGAATTTGTGACTGTAGGCAAAACATTATTTGTTTTTCTCCAGAAGATCAGGAGCTTAATAATTTGCTCAAGCTTACAGAACTGATCTGTAATTGCTTTTTGTTATCTACCACTGCTTAATATACCACCCCTAACTTAGTGGTTTAAAGTAGCCGTGATCAATTATTTAGCTCACAGATTTGCAGTCTCAGGAGGGCTCCTCAGGGAAGGCTGGTGTCAGCATGGCTGCCTCCTTTGGGGGCTGAGATCTGTTTCTCGGGTGCTCATTCACCTGGGCTGACTGTCAGGGCTGACAGCCCTTAGTTCTTCTACCTGGACCTTTCCATAAATTGAAGGGGCTTCCTCACACTGTGGCGCTGGGTTCCAGGCAGCAGGGAGTGGAGACTCATGGTTCCTAAGGTCTGAGCCTCTAAAATGAGCATCACAGTGTTTGTTTCCTTCTTATTTGCTGTCAAGCAGTCACAAGGGGGTGGCCGATGTCCCCACTGTGTGATGGGAAGAGTGTCAAGAACGTTGGGCTGTGTTGTAAAACAGCTGCGGCCCTGGAGATACTATATTTTCTCATGTGATCTTAAAATAAGATCGGAATTCATTTCTCTATACCCGTTGTTACTCTCTGGCTTTAAAATGGGATTATTCAGCTTGCGTTTGAGCTCAGTCTGCTGATTCTGTGTCTAATAGCTGTGTTCAGTGTCCAGGTCGGCTGACAAACTCTTAGTGAAGGCCGCCGTGGCTCCATGGTACACCTGCACCAGCCTCCCTCCTGGCCCCTTGCCTCCTCTCTTGGTAGTATCCCCAGATCTGTGTCTTGGAAAGGGAAAAAGCACTGCCGTGCTGCCCTGCTTAGGACCCCTGAAGGTTCTGCTGCTCTTTCCCCGACCTTGGGCACTGTCCCTTCCCAGCGTTCTCCTCGCCCACTCTTCAGTTGACAACAGTCATTTCCCCTTCATACTCTGTCCTGGGAGAGGCTGATGTGTAAAATTCCCTCCTAACACTTACTGACGCAAGCATGATGCTAACTGCTCCACAGTTTTAAGTTTCACACTTCTGTTAGTTATGTTCTCTTCTGTTTGAAGGTGTGATAGTTAACTACGGTGTCAATGTGAGTAAGAAACGCCTTTCAGATTAGTTTAGTGCAGTTCTGGGTGCGTCTGAATGATGGACTTACTGAAGAGGAAAGACCCGCCTGGGTGTGGGTGGCACCAACCAATAGGCTTGTAGCCTGGATGGAATAAAAAGGGAAAGAAGGAAGTCTCACTTCTGCATCTTTGGAGGAGCTCCCGTCTTCACCACCGCCTTTGGATGTCCATCTCCAGGCTTCCTGTGCAGACTCTTCAGACTTCAAGTGCAGGCCCTCTGGCTTCCTAATAGGGACACACATGGGACTTTGCAGCGAGCTCCAGGCCTTCGATCTTTGACTGGGTCCTCCAGCTGTCCAGTATATGGACAGACGTCTTGCATTCTTCCACCTCTGACTCTGCAGGCAGCCATTGGAAGGCTACCTTATAATCCTTTACATAGCACATATATATATACGCCATTCCTCTAGTGAAGCCTAACTAATACGCCACGTGTGCACTTAGCTTCTTGATAACCATATATACTTGACATTTCCCAAGTCCACAGTGTCTTCCACCACACCCGGGATTTTCTGCTTGCATTGTCCTCTGTACTTCCCTACTAACTCATACTTCTTTTTCTCACTTAGGGTTAGACAGTCCTTTCTCCAGAAAGATTTCTCAAGCCTGGTTGAGCTTTCCTGCTGTTTGTTCCGCTCATGGTCTGTCTTCCCAGTCAGCACGTTTCATCTTTTACTGGAATGGCCTTTTTATTTTTTTGGGGTGCATTACAGACTTTACATTCTTTGTGGCTATGACCCCATCTTGACTTTGCCCCCCTCTCTTGCAGCGGAAGGTGTTTTACTTCAGCCCCCTCTCAGGTCCTCTTTGACCTTTCGCTATCTAAGAGGCTATGGATGTTCTGAGCTCCTGCATGCACCCATGCAGCCACATACCCCAAACTGGACCCAGGTGACAGAGTTTGTCATGGCGGGCTTTGCCGGGGTGCGAGAAACACACCTCCTTTTCTTCACACTCTTCCTCATCATGTACCTGTTCACTTTGGCAGAGAACATAACCATCATCTTAGCGGTGGCCTTGGACCACCGGCTGTGGAGACCCATGTATTTCTTCCTGACACACCTGTCCTGCCTTGAAGTCTGGTACACCTCGGTTACAGTGCCCAAGATGCTGGCTGGTTTTATCGGGGCAGATGGAGGCAAGAACATCTCCTACGCTGGCTGCTTGTCCCAGCTCTTCACCTTCACTTTCCTTGGGGCTACTGAGTGCTTCCTCCTGGCTGCCATGGCCTATGACCGCTATGTGGCCATCTGTATGCCTCTCCGCTATGGGTCCTTGGTGTCCTGGGGCACCTGCTGCCGTCTGGCCACTGCTTGTTGGCTGCTAGGCTTCCTCACACCCATCTTGCCTATCTACCTCATGTCTCAGCTGACATTCTGCGGCCCCAATGTCATTGACCACTTCTTCTGCGATGCTTCCCCTCTGCTAGCCCTATCCTGCTCAGATGTCACCCTGAAGGAGACTGTGGATTTCCTGGTGTCTCTGGCTGTGCTCCTGGTCTCCTCGACAGTCATCGCTGTGTCCTATGGCAACATCGTCTGGACCCTACTACACATCCGGTCTGCGGCCAAGCGCTGGAAGGCCTTCTCCACCTGCGCAGCTCACCTGACTGTGGTAAGCCTCTTCTATGGCACGCTTTTCTTTATGTACGTCCGCACCAAGGTGGCCTCCTCCATCAACTTCAACAAGGTGGTGTCTGTCTTCTACTCTGTTGTCACACCGATGCTCAACCCCCTCATCTACACTCTTAGGAACAAGGAAGTGAAGGAGGGCCTGGGCCGTGCCTTTTCCCTCAGGTTTTGGAGGGGGCAGTGAGGAGGCAGATCAGAGTGACTTAGGTATTTACCAGGATGGTAGTGAGGACTGTGGAAGAGAGTCATGGGTGTGTGACTGTGAGTGACAGACTACGTAAAAGTTCAAGGAAAATGCTGAGCTGCTACCACAGTAGAGACTTAACTACAAGGAGGCTTACAGACTGAAGCATACTTTCTCTTTCATGCCAGAGTCCAAGGTGAGTGGTCCAGGTTGATGCATAGCTCTGCTCCACTGGTATCCAAGAACCCACATTCCTGCAATCTTCCAGGGCCAGCATCCCCTGGGATGTTGACAAAGTCAAGCTTGCAGGCTGAATCGGTGAGCTAAGAGTGGTTTTCACACTTTTAAATGATTAAAAGAACTGCAAAGGAGAATAATATTTCATGACATGAATGTTTTATAAAATTGAAATCTCAGCGTCCATACATCAGGTTGTATCATGTGCATATCTCACCCTGGTGACATCTAAGGTCATCCTTGTGCTACAGTGGCAACAGTGACCATCTGCCAAACCCTGACCTACAGCTTTCTTGGTGCTTACGTGGTCAAACTAGGTAAGAGGTGCAAAGATGGTGCACAAAGCAGAAACACCCTGTGTCTCAAGGGCTCTCCAGATGCAGCACTGACCACTTCCACTCACCTCAATGGGAGACATGAGATCACACCTCACTGCAAGAATGGCAAAATATTCGATAGTAGGGCAGGCACTCAGCTACCACTGAGCTACGGTAGAAAAAGAGGAGAACAAACTGGGTGGACAATCAGCAGTTTCTACCGCAACCAGAATCCCTGGAATCAGAGCTGGCTTTCCATTGGGTAGATGCACTTAATCTTTTCTACGTACACATTTTCTTATTTGGAACAGAATGATCTTCCTTCTCTATCAGATGATATTTGGAAATTGGTTTAAGGAGACCTCTGTGGCAATGTCAACTCTCTCCAAGTAATCTTACAAAGACAATTGTAATTCAGATAATCTCCTCCATGTAGATAGCAGTACTCCTAAAGACATGTATAATCATTACTTGAATATGGATTCCCCAAATCACAGTAAATAAAAGAGGAAACTCCTGAACTTGGATCTGGGCAGAGGGGAGAGATTTTCTGTGACAGTATTTCTCATCTGTTCAATAATGTGTACATTACATTACAACGTCTTCAGCACAGCTTTGCCCGATAACATCTGAGTGGTTATATTTGTTATAATTAACAGAGAGGATACAGATCATGCATTTTAAACTTTTCAGGATTAAATAGAACAATTCCTCTGAATGAAAGGGGGCTATACACTTTCAGGTACCTGGCCCGAGTAGATGTGAACACAAAATAAATTAGGTTTCCAGCTGATGGAAACAATGCAAACCATGTTGGGTTATAATCGGGAACATTTATAGTGGCAGAAAGATTTAAACTGTAAACACAGGCACTGTTCCCTGGGAAGTATCAGTAAGGGGTACCATTTGCTAATCCAAATTACATAACATGGTAAAAACTCTGAAGCATACACCTAGAAAGGGTCTGGTACATGATGTAAAAGTGTATTTCCCTTTAAGGAAACCGGCACAGGAACTAATCTGGAAAAAACCTGTTTTTGTGAGTGTGATTATTTATATTACAAAACTAAAATGATTGCTCTTTTAAAGAACATACCTACCTACCAGAGTCTGGGTTGCATGACTGTATAGTACAGTGTGATGCTATGTAAACAGACCCAAAGCTTAACCAGCGGTCTCTTCCTGGTGAAGTCCGTCTGAACCATCTTGTCTGTGTCCGTGTGGCTCTTACCCCTTCTATCCATATCAACATTCCCATTTTAGTTTCTTTAGTCTGTGTAGTCTCTTACTTTTCCGTTTCCACATCTCAGGTCCTTAGTACTCTGTTTCCAAGGTAGGTTTGTCAGAACACTGGCTTCAGCTACGGAAGGCTTACAGCTCTCTGATCTCTAAACCAGCCTTATTTATTGATATCCTTAGCCTTTGGTGGCTTCCTTTCAGTGCTCGAAGTAACATTCTTGGCAACCACGGCCCTTTAAATGGGCCACGGCAAGACTTTAAAATGCTTCCCATCACGCAGAACTGTGGGTGCCTTGATCCTTGGAGACACTTAGCGCCTCACACTGGGCACCACCTCTCCCCAGGGAGCAGCCCGAAAGCACCGTCAAAACTCCTGATCCCCATGTTTCCTGGGCCTCCTTAGCACCCTTACGCTCTCAGGGAAGAGAAGGGGCTTCATCTGCTCTCTGTTCTGGGGGTCCCCACACCGGGTCTGCGGCAGCCACCTGTTCTCAGTTACTCAAAATCATTCAGCGGCCCAGAGCAGGTACAGATGGTTAAGAAAAGATTCCCTGAGAGATACGTTCAGTCTCCTCAAGCCAGGCTGGGCTGGAAATGTTAGATCACAGGCTCTTTGTAGGAATGAAGCTTTAGCCTCTCCGAAAGCCTTTCCCTGGGACCTGGCTTGGGGCCAGGGTCTTTCAGGAGTTTCAATATTTCCTCAATGGATCAAGAGATCTAAGTTTGTCTCTATGTCTGATTTTACTGAATGATTGGACAGATGCTTGTCCAGTGCTGTTATGCGCCACATACTGTTCCAAATGTTTAAGGTTAATTTGTTCACTCCTCACTGACAACCCCACAAGATCGTGCTGGCATTCATCTCTTTTATAGACAAAGGAAGAGAGCTACAGAGGAGCTGCTGGTCCACCTCTGTGTGATGTGGCCTGGGCACGCCGGTCTCCTCCCTGTCATGTCTTCCCTTGTCTGTGAGCGGTCACCGAGCCTGGAGGGCTCTGCCTATCTGTGTTCTAAGTGTTTGACCTGTGCTGAGCGGTGCCCACGCTTTCTCATTTCGTTATCACCACAGCCCTGAAGGAAAGGCGGAGGCTCTCTTTGTGGGAGGAAAGTCAGACCAAGAGAAGTTAAATCACATGCTGAAGTTCTGACAGCTGGAGTGAGAAAGAGTCAGGATGGGAGCCGGGTCTGGCGACAGCACTCAACCCTCAACCACTCACCTTCTTGTCTTCTCTGAACGATCTCATCCAGTGCTAAGTTTGCCTAAGTTGATTCATTCATCCACCAAATGTATACTTTATGCCATCTAAGTACCAGGCCCTGACTGGGTGTCAACACCCATTGGATGAACAAGGTGCATGTGTTTCCATCAGTGATGGTAGGGTTTGCAGACATGCCTATGTCCCCCATAGACTGAAATACAAAGTAGAGCAGCTCAGTGACAGCAGGGGTCCAGGCGGTGTGATGGGTGAGGAGGAAGGAGCATCCCCTTGGCAGGAAGTTCAGGGAGGGCATCACAGGAAGTGGCCCTCCCTGGGGTCCACTTCTGTTTTGCTCACTTGGGGTCACGTCTGCCGAGCATTTGTCCTTTGGTGTTCTTTTCAGGGCGGAGAAGGATGATGTAGCACTTGGGAAAGAAGAGGCAGCACATGAGGCCTGCAGCGGATGCCAAGATGGCAAAGACCTCCACGGCCACCGTGTCTTTGCCTCTGGCGCTCATGTGGGCAGGGACGAAGGACACCCAGACGCAGCAGCAGACCAGCATGCTGATGGCGATGTGCTTGGCCTCGTTGAAGGTGTCGGGCAGCCTGCGGGCAGGGAAGGCCACCAGCAAGCTGACCAGGCCCAGCAAACCCAAGTAACCCAGCATGGCACAGAACAGCTCCAAGGAGCCGCCATCGCACTTGACCATGACGCGGGCCCCGGGCTCTGTGGAGTTCATAGGCTTTGGGGGCCATCGGGCCACCCAGAGTGTGCACAAGGCAGCCTGGATCAGCGAACAGACACCCGGGATGGTGCCAGGGAGCCAGGGCCCCAGCCACCTCCTGACGTGGGCGCCTGGCTGCGTGGTGTGGAAGGCGGCCACCACCACCACGGTCTTGGCCAGCACAGTGGACACGCAGACTGTGAAGGTGACCCCGAATGCTGCCTGGCGCACAGCGCAGGTGAGGGCTCCTGGGTGGCCAATGAACAGGAAGGGACAGAGGAAGCAGAGTGCCAGGGAGGCCAGCAGGAGGTAGCTGAGCCGGCGGTTGTTGGCACGGACCACAGGGGTGCGGTGGTGCCGGACGAAGACGCCTAAGATGGCCAGGGCAAGGAGGAAGAGCAGGGCCGTGCAGATGGCCAGCGCTGTGCCCAGGGGCTCGTGGTAGGACAGGAAGTCCAGGGTTCTGGGGACGCACTAGCTCTTCCCCACGCCGGGCCACTGGTCCCCAGGACACTTCTGGCATGCGGCACTGTCTGAAGGAGAAGGAGAAACTGAGTCAGAGAGCAGTGCGGGGAAGCCCCGCACACTGTCCCACAGAGGAGCAGCTGTCCCATGTGTGGGGCCTCCCCAGGAGGCTCGGTGTGTTTCGGTCTCACAGCCACGGGCCTTCGGCACTGCCTGATGTCCCTAGATCCACGGACCAAGACGCAGATGGAGGAATCCCGGCTGCAGCTGCTCCCTTGAATCACAGTGTGATAAAATGACACTGAGCAGCCTACAGAAGCTGGACTCCTACCGGAGCTTCTTTCCTCTGGACTGAATAACTGGTTGGTGATGTCATAACTCACAGCCACAGCGAATCAGTGTGTGCCTCCATTCATCTACCCTGTTTAAGGACGCTTTATGGCGAGTTTACTGTATGCACCAATTCTCTCTTTTACATGAAACCACCTAGCTCTAAGTTACTCCAGTGAGAACCTGGTGGACCATTGCTTTTCATAGTGATTTTTTGGGCAGGTTTTGTGCTGGAGTCCTGGACCTGTCTCATGTTCCCTCCTGACTTCTTGCCTGGGTTTGTTTGTAGCTCTTGATTCCCACATCCTTGGATCCCATGTCCTCCTAGTGCTCAGGTCTGAGGACCTCTTATTTGTCATTCCACTTTGCCACTCTGGTAGCTACTCAGCTTTCTCTGGTGGCACCACTTGTTTTTAAGAGGACAAAGAGCTTTCCCACAGGCTCCCCTTCCCCTGGGGTAGATTTTAGTGTGAGAAAGAACCTTGTCC